GGGCGCGGGAAAGCGGTGCGGTCGAGGTGAAGGAAGTGGTGGAGGTAGTTGGCTACCGGTTCGTAGGGTGGCGGATAGTCGTCGAGGAAGTTGGGACGGATGCGGTCTCGCGGTGGAGTCGCAGTCGACTCGTCGGCGAAGATGTCGGTGAGTGGGAGGATAGAGGGAGTGCTTCGCGCGGACACTGGAGGCAGGTCGCGTTAGCGGTGAGGGTGTAGGGGGTGTGGTAGAACCGTACTCGTGTATTCGCGCGCTTGATTCCGCGGCGAGTGGGGTTTTGAGTAGGTGTGGGGTTTGGTAGAAGCTGTTTATGAGACGCCTTAGCGCGCGCGGCTATCTACGAGATTAGATAGCGCACCAGCCGAGACTCGCGAGGGAGATTGGAGGTACGAAAGCCCAAACAGCTTCTGGAGATTGCTCCTCCAGAAGCGGGCCCTTTTATATTCGCTAGCTACGATGTACATGAGTCAATGTGAGTCGCGCGTGCATTCGCGTGCTGCAGCGTTAGCTCGCCTGCTTGCACTCACATGTCGTGTAGAGTCAACGGAAATACAAAGAGCAATCGCACGAAAGGCGCGAGGCGTCTGCGTACGATACTGGAAGAAGTAACTACGTAGTCAGGGCGCTGGTACGCTCCAGGCACAAGAGGCAACGTGCAGGAGCGCGCGGTCACTCTCCACGGCCCGGTTGTACATGAGGCGCTCAAGTGAGCTCTTGTACGGCGCGCGGTAGCCTCGTGGCTGGGCGTCGGAGCCGCGCGCTGCTTACTAACACCGTGACTTGCGTGATTACTGGAAAAGGCAAATTTCCGTAACACATGTGCTCCCGCGAATCCGCACTCTTCTACCAGCTGGGTAGGGCAAGGCAGGCTGATGAGCACTTGAGTACGTCTTTGGCCTTGTGTCACAGGATACTCTCGGTCGCTTGATGGACATTTAAATACTTCACGAGTGGAAGAAGAGCTTCGAGAATAGAGTATCACAAACTTGATTGAAAGTAGTATTGCTCACGAGACTCTAGTGAAAACATTTGCTGAATGCACGATTGCTTTACTCGTGAGACTGGTAAGTAGATACCTGTGTTACGTGCTATTTATTCGCTTGACTCTCAGAAGATCGTCGTGCACATGCGCAAGAGCTTTCCCGCCGCATTTACCGAATGAGGCATATCCCGACGCCTATCACACGGCGGACATTGCCGAAACTATTACATGTGGCTGGCCGCTCTTCCAACAGGCCGGGACTTGTGCACTTGGAGCGTTTCGATGGCCGCGGGAAGTTTGCGGGATGCACAACCGCAGATTGCTGGGATTTCTGCCGCTCCTGCTCCATCTGAGCAGGTGAGACCATGTGTCTAGGCCGTTGCTAGACTCTCCCTTGTTGACATCGCCCAGAGTATGCAGTAAATACTAAATTGAGGGGAGATTCCAAAAAGGAGCCACATAATATTAAAGAAAGACTGCAGTGAGCGCACGCAACCAACATCTTCCTCGAAATCCCCATCAAAAAATCAAAACCCCAAGTACCGCTCCGATGGCGAAGAATGCGACGGCACCAATAAGCACAGAAGGAGGAATGGACATGTCAAATCCTTGGAATCTGTGAGTTCGATTACTGTGTCAGCTGTGCATTTCCACGATAAAACGCTATAAACGTGCCGTCTGCCTGGACGCTGTCGAGGACGCCTCCGCTCCGATCCCGGCTGGATCATGGATGCGCCGTAAAACGTCGTCGGCCAACTCGAAGAGTGGCCTTCCGCGCCATGACCGAGTCTGTCTGGCAGATCCGGAGTTCGTTCGCGCGAAATGTCCTGACCAGCGCCTGCGCGCTCGCCGCCGTTGACGTTGAGCACGGGTATCTGCGCGAATGCTGTGGGGTGGTTCGCGGTCAGCCTCTGCACCCACCGGTGACAGTCCTTTGGACGCACCCGCGGAGAGCGCATCAGATCCAGGGCCCGTGCCAACACTCGCGTGGTCTATTTTTGGACGGGGTTGGTGAGCCAAAATAGACGATCAGCCCTCCATCCGCCAGTGAGCGTACCTGCGCGCGGGTTACCTGCAAGTGGGATGGACACTGTGTAATCCCTCAGCGCTGTGCTCTAGGAAAGGGTGTCAATGCGGCTCACCTCGACTCAGCGTTGGCAAAGCATGAGCTGTCGTGAGCGAGAACAAGACAACAGCAAGAAGAGCGGAGCGGAAGAGCATCGCGAAGGGTGAAATCAAAGACAGGTGGTAGTCATGGGGCAAGATGCAGTAGCGGAGAGAAGAGGGGGTCAGTTCAGGCGTGTGCCAGGCGGTTTAAGGGGACGCATATGACGGCGAGGCCCGCAAACGAGCGCCCCCGCCGCAGCGACGCGGGCATGGAGCCCGCGCCGGCTGTACTGCCACATAGGCGATCTTGTCTACGGCCACGCTAACTAACGAGCAGGCTCACCACGGTCAGAGGTCGTTTCGATTGGTTTCTCTCTAAAGGGGGGCCAGGGGGCTGTAGCCTGTAGCCCTCCTCGGACCGCGATATTGCGAGTTGGAGGTTGGGCGCGCACTTCTTTGGTAGCTGCGCAACTCAGTACGCCCTTGACTGCGCTTGTGTCAGAGAAACTGTAAGTCGAAGAACTCGCAGCACTTGCGGCGACGCAGTTGATTAGCTTGGGGAATGGCATCGATGATAGGTAGCAATGGCCAACCAACTCCACACTAACTTAGAATGCAGACGAAGTCATCACTAGTATTGTGGGTTGTGCCATGAATTCCCCGTTGCGTAAAACGAATCTATTGCACATTTATTAGTAGTTTCCAACTTGAATCTTTGAAGCCCGAAGGGGGTGCCTTCGGGCTAGATAAGCCGAGCATAATATCTGTAAGCATTGCTTTTGAAGCTCCATATGTTCCGGTCAACGTGCGACGCCGAAGAACAGCCTGCACCCTGGGGCTGCGAAGAGGAAGTCATCGCTGACTAAGGATAGGCCAGAAGGTACAGTGAGCGAATGCCGAGAACGAGGCAAGTGCAAATTGGCTGTCAACCGGCCGGGGCAGAGCAGTGCGAAGTGCACGAACGAAAAGACGAGCATTACGCAGGCGCCCACTCCCATTGGTAAGGACGGTCACGTGGCCGATTAGGGAGACTAACGCGATCTCCTCTTCTTCTTGTCCTATAAAGTTGGACGGTCACCGCCTGCATTCCGTACCATCCCCTCCATACACACACCACCTACACCTTCCTATCCCCCTCCCACATCCGACTATCGCCATGGTTCAAGCCGTAAAGGACCTTCAAGAGTTCAAGGACATCGTAAGTGGCTTCTACAGCTGATCTCGGCTACGCACTCGAGGCTGATCAGGTCACACACAGATCAACGGCGACACCGTTGCTATTTTCGACTTCTGGGCGACCTGGTGCGGCCCGTGCAAGATCATCTCGCCCATCTTCGAGAAGCTCGCAGGCCAGTATGGGGGCGCCAAGTTCTACAAGGTCGACATCGACGAGGCGGCGGATATCGCGGAGGAGGTCGGCGTCCGTGCGGTACGTGGTTTCTCTTCCCTGTGCTGCGTATTCGGTGTCCCTCATGACGCGCGTCGCCGATGATCAGATGCCCACCTTCATCGCCTTCAAGAGCGGCCAGAAGATCAAGGAGGTTGTCGGCGCAAACCCCGCTGGCCTCCAGGTGCGTGCAATCTAGGCGTGAGAGTGGAGAGCGTACTGATGGGCATTCTCGTGCAGGCTATGGTCGAGAGTCACGCTACGGCATGAAGCGGTGCATAGAGCTGGGATTTCGGAGAAGTATCATTATGGATCTTGTACTTTGCCACCAATACCGAATGTCGCCGGAAATCAGCCAGCGTTGTAACATATGATCACAGTTGGAGGGGAGCCAGAGTCGTGGTCTACCTCATTCGCATGAATCATCGGTCGTGGGACGTGAGTGCGCAAGTTCAGTTGCAAGTTGTGATACTTTTCGCACACAATCTGGGCTAGGATCTGTACGTGCGAGGAAGAGAAACATGTCAGTGACCATCGGCACGGACGGCCCGAGACGGTACGCCAAGCGATGGCGTGTCTTTGCTTTGATGATTATATACTGGGTCTTTGCTTCCTCCTACCGACCTCTTTCCATGCACATACAACCATCCAAGTTCTCGATACCTACTCTGCGAGAGTTTTCTGCACTTCACTCCCGCTGAATGTGAATCTGTGAGTACCCCATTCAAATCCTGGAGATCGACCCTCGGCGTATTGCCGGAGATTGATATAAACGTTCACTGTAGTACGAGGATAGAATTTCACGACTGCTCGACGCGGCATGGACATTCAAGCTACAAGCCCGCCGGTGCTCAGACAACTCACAAGAGTCGACACCCCAAAATGAATGTGGTCTCGGGAGCGGGGGTCCCATGTCCTGTCATTTCAACTGCGAACAATCCGTTTCGGTACGTGCGCAGTTTTACGGAGCGTTGGTGTTTGCGGTGATGGTGAGATACTCACGAGCATACCCGAAGTGGCTACAGGTTGCAGTCTGGTCTTGCCCCCAATTTACGACTATGGAGACGGCGGGGTTTGGGCAAGCAGATCTTACCGGTGTCTGGTCATTCACTGTTGTTCCAAGTTTCGTCGGCCGAAGTGCAGTCAGGTGACAAACGGCAAGAATGAGGCAAGTAGATGTACTAGGAGCACGAGTTCTCTGACGAGGTCATCTGATGCGTGAGTAATCCCCTCCCCAGGCCTCAATGCGTCCTTAGAAGCACGGCGACCTCACGAATCCGCGAACCTGCTGTCACACACCCGTTCTAGCGCCGCCATGAAGCTATGAGTCCTCGCGTACACCATCAAAGGAACTGCAGCGCCATACACTTGACATCTGCGCAGAAGGCTGAGGCCGCCGGCGCGGGCTCCAAGCGATCACGAGCCCAACTCTGCCGTTAGCCTTCGACTTCTCCGCCCTCTCTAAGCGAAACGGCTATATAACGGTCGACTCCGTGCGACGCCGGCCACGCACTCGCAGCTTCAATGCGGTTTCCTCGACACACGTGGCTGGCTCTGGCGGGTTTGCTACCCGCCATTGTCAATGCCGACGTTCTCAGCCTTTCGACTCTCGATTGGGGACTCCGCAACAAGAATGGCTCCATTGTCGTCCCAGCGAAGGTGCCCTCGCAAGCACACCTGGACTTGGTCGAGGCCGGAATCATCACCGAGCCTCTGCTCGGAATCAACGGTCTGATGGGCAACATCCTTTGGAGGCTGCTCATCTGAGCCCGAGCCCGCTCGCAGACTTCACCCAACGCTGGGTTGCCTTTGACGACTGGACGTACACAGCGGATCTGAGACCACTCGTGAGAAACCTGTCCCACGGCACGAAAGCGCTTCTCGTCTTCTACGGTCTGGACACCATCGCGAACATAGTGAGTGCATTGTCCACAATTTTCCTCTACCAGGCCTGTGTTCTGATGTCTCCATCAGACGGTGGCTGGCCACGAGGTCGCATGGGTCAACAACGAGTTCCAGCAGTATGTCTATGACGTCACGGACCTTGTAACGGCCCCTGTGGGCGGCGACACCAACCTGACCGTCGCGTTCGAGTCCGCCTGGACATACGGTCTTAATGTCACCTCTCGCCCTGATGTCGAGTGGGTCGACTTCGGATTCGATGTGCGTGTGTTCTGTCTCTCTCAGAAGTGTCCTTCTCATTGCCTGTCATAGTTCGAATTCCCCAATGTTCGCCATGTCGTCCGTAAGACTCAATCCGATTTCGGATGGGATTGGGTGCGTGGCCTCTGACTATGTCTCCTGTTGTCTAACAAATCCCAGGGCCCGGCGTTCTTACCTGTCGGCATTTTCAAACCCGCCTACATCGTCACTCTCAACTCCAAATCCAGCGATCACATCACACCCGCCTCCCATCCCCTCCTCGCGTCCGCCAGCGGGCCCATTTTCTTCGAGGATACAGCGCTCGAGATCTCGAGAAAAGGCCAGAGCACCATCACCCAGGCGGACCAGACCGCCGATTGGCTCGTCAACGTCACCCTCGCCGTCCGTTCTGTCGTCCGCTCGCATGCTCCGACCGTTACGATCGACATCCCCGAGCTCAAAATTACATCTGGAGCTCTGTCGGTGTCCTCCATCCCCGCCGACACCAGCGCGCCGACGTTCGTCCACGCGAGCTTCATCGTCCCAGCCGACGCCCCTGCGCTCTGGTTCCCGCACACCCTCGGCACCCCCAAGCTCTACAACTTTACTGTTACGTTGTCCCTCGCGCACAGCGCGTCTGCGAGCTTCACGGTTCGCAGTGGGTTCCGGACGATCGAGCTGATCCAGGATGCGTACTCGCAGGAGGAGCTCGACGGGCGCGGAATCACGCCTGGGGACCAATGGCACTTCAACGTGAACGGCAAGGCGTTCTACACGGTCGGAACGAACATCATCCCGTTCGACCCGTTCTATGCGCGGATGACATCTGCGCAGGTGCGCTGGGTGCTCGAGAGCGCTGTGCTCTCGGGGCAGAACATGGTGCGTTCTATTGGTGCCCCGCCTTAGGATGCGTGCTCATCCGCCCGTCCATAGCTCCGCGTATGGGGCGGCGGAATATACCAGCCTTCGGACGAACTCACGGGCGGGTACGACTTCTACTCGGCGTGCGATGAACTTGGGATCCTCGCGTGGTCGGAGCTCATCTTCTCTGACACGCTGTACCCGATCAATGACTTCCTGCTCGCGAGCATCGATACGGAGGTACGACAGAACGTGAGACGGGTGAAGAAGCACCCGAGCAACACGCAGTGGGCGGGCGGAAACGAGATCGAGGGTATCGTGCTGCTGGTGAACTCGTCTTTGGATAATGGCACACATTATCTCAACGAAGTATGGACATCTCCGTGGGTTCCCGGCGTGAGGGCTTACGCCTTTGTTGCAGTATCAAACTCTGTTTGGAGACTTCTTGCATGACGTTGTGCTGAACGAAGAGGATTCCGTGAGTGATCAGCGTTTATGGCGATATATGAAGATACTGAGAATTTGGTGAAGGTGGCATACACAGACTGTTCTACTACCAGCGGGGTGCTGAGTCTCGATCCTTATGAGATCCGGTACAGCAACAAGACACCCGGTTTCATCTACGGAAACTCGGGTAGGTTACCACTAGACTGGATGCTCCATTGTATGCACTGATCGCGTCCTCCAGAACGCTACAACTACGATGCTTCGCAAGCCTTCAACTACAGCACGTACCCCGTCTCCCGCTTCGTCAACGAGTTCGGGTAAGCTCCCTGCTGTCATGATTGTCCTGTTCATCAACGCTCACATATGAGCATCTTAGCTTTCACTCCCTTCCCTCGTTCTACAGCTGGGAGGACGTCCTGGAGAGCCCCGAAGACTTCAGCTTCAACTCCACCGTCGTCGCCTCGCGCGACCACCACCCTCCTGCGGGCGGCTTCGCGTTCCCAAACCCCAAAGCGAACCAGGGCCAAGCCCAGATGACACAGGGCGTGGAGCTCTGGCTACCCACCCCAGGCACCACCGACTCGAACCAGACCTTCGCCCAGTGGTGCTGGAGCACCCAGATCTTCCAATCCCTCAACATGGTCTCCGAGATCGCGTGGTACCGCCGCGGCGCCGGCCTCGGCGAGAACAACCTCGGCGCGCTCGTCTGGCAGCTGAACGACATCTGGCAGGGCGTGAGCTGGTCGTCGATCGAGTACTCCGGGCGCTGGAAGGTACTGCAGTACGGGATGGCGGGCATCTTCGCGCCTGTCGCCCCTCATCCGTTCTGGTACGCTGGGAACGAGACGCTGGAGGTCATGGTCGTGTCCGATCGGTGGGACGCGGTGTCGGGTGAGGCGCAGATGACGTGGTACGACTGGGCGGGTGGGGAGCTGAACTCATCCACGGTGCCGTTCGAGATCGCGCCGGTGAACGGGACGACGGTGTTTGAGGCGACGGGGCTGAAGAACTTGCTGCCGTCGGGCAAGAACGCGTCGGAGGTGTTCATGCTGGTGAACGTCTCTGCAGAGGTCGATGGCAAGACGGTGACGCAGGAGCAGGTGGTGAGTGCTGCACCTGGTTCTAGATGTCGAGCTGAGTGCTCATGTGCACGCAGTTCACCCCAGCTTCGCTCGCGCTTGCTCCCCTGATCGACCCCGAGATCGAGGTCATCACGAGCGACAGTCTCACTTTCACCCTCTCTGCGAAAGGAGGCGTTGCGGCCTTCACGTGGCTGGACCATCCGGCGGGCACGGTTGGATACTTCCGGGAGATGAGGACGGGGAACCTGCTCAATGGGTTCTACCTAATCCCGGGCATCGACCGCACAGGTGATTTCGCCGCGTGCCCTTCGCCGAACGTTTGACTGATGGTGTATTTCGCAGTGCAATTCGTCCTTAACCCGACGCTATCCAAGATCTCCGACCCTGACCCCGCGACGTTTGTCGTGCGCTCGCTGTGGAACAACACCCATTTGTAGACCTGGATCCCGTCTCGCACCTGATCTACTTTGTACCCAGTCGAAGCCTTTCATTTCGACGGCAGTAATGGTGATACTTCTGCTTTGTGCACGGCAAAAGCTGCGTGCGTCCACCACGACATTTGACACACCATTTTGGTTGCTGGCACACTGGGCCGCTGCCGGATGGCTCCGTCGTAGACTCGAGCTCAAAGTGCCGTCGGGGCAACGATATGGGGTTTCGATCATAGTACAAAGCATATTCAACTTCTCGGCCACGTCTCCTGACCGCTCCAAAGCCCCTCCTTATTTCTAGAACGAAGCGGCGGGTGCTCCCGATGATCGAGAGCCCCCTCCGACGGGCCGATGGCACTTGACTGTTAGCTCAACCATTAGCGGACGGTTCGACACGAATCTCCCGCAAACGCACCTTGTACGTTGCCAGCTTGACTCAAGGGAAGTCGCAGTCCGAGGTCTGGCTGCCGTGGCTCTCGCAGCAGGACCTGAAGTTGCTGAGGTGCTCCGAGATGGAGCTGGCGTTGCAGTCGTTCCCGTTGAGGAACGCCCCGTTGAGGGACGCACAGCACGTCTTGGTGTTGCCGACGTTCTGGGACCCGTTGCTGTCGATGCACTTGCAGGCCTGCGTGGGGATGGCGGCGGCGACGGCGAGGACGATGAGGGCGAGGAGCTTCATGATGAAGAGGGTTGAGTGAATGAACTGCGGGATGGTTGTGGGATCGGGGTCGACGGGGTCCTTTTATGTTCTTTGCCGGTGGGTGAAAGCAATATTTCTCTGTACTGACAGACATGAACCATACCTTGTGCGCCGCTCTCGGGACACGCCGGAGCGTGATTGGCACCCTGGGACCTAAGTTTACACACCCAAACGCCCCATGGGATCATGAATGCTCGCCTCGTTCACGCCGCTGCCGTTGTGCTAGTACTGGTGGCCGCAGTGACTGTCGTGGTCAGCGCCGTGAGAGTTGCGCGCGTCCGCTGGGGCGCCCTCCCTGTAATACGTTGACTTCTCCATGCTGCGCACCGGGAACTTTGAGCATCCTTCCGGTCAGATTCGTAGCTAAATCCGCAGTGCAGATTGCTGCTCTGCGAGCCCGGCCCACAGTTTCTCGTCTGATGACCAGTCGTTCTTGGCCGGCGTGCTGCGGGCAGGCTTGATGTAGATGCGGATGACATGGGTCAGGCAGGGACTCAGGCGACAAGGCTGGCGGAGGCGGCGCGGTCGTCGAAGTCGCATGAAGTTGAGCTCGATGCTGAGAAAGAGATTTATTACATAGCTGAGATCTACTACGTCAGCTGGATCTGGGGCAGGCTTGAGCCGTGTCTCAGCAAGCGGGGGCAAGCGTGCAGACTTCGAGAGATCTGGCGAGAAGCCACGACGGGATCGCCTTCAAGTGCGCGCACGCCGACCACGCACTCCGACGTGGACGTGCGCAAGCCTGAGGTCATCCGAGTTCTTATGTAACCAGCCTCCAACAGACGGTCTCAGACCCGACCTACCCCCAGAGATCCAAGAGCCGCATCTCCCGAACTGCTCTCTTGAAAGCCCGAGCCTCCACAGTAACGTCCTCGACTCCTCTCTACTGATTGTGCCCAAGCACGCTCCCCGGCTTCGATGTCAACGCTACGCCCGTTCTTGAAGCCGACTGGCGACGGACGAGACGATTGAGAATATATGGAATCACTGAGGCTGCATGCGTAGCACCCTAATACAACGATCTCGACCAAGCATGTGCTCCTTAAAGAGAATGGGAAAATGCTCACCCACGACGTTTCGCGAACGGAGGTGTGTAACTGTTGGCCCCTTTTCTATTCGACTTGCGCGGTCTGGGGCCTTCAAGTTAGCACATCACGATCATCGAGAGCATTTGATGAGAATGCTCCGTTTTCAGGTTGTGCGTGCGAAATGCTTCGCAAGACCGCAAGAACAAGCCGCGGCTGAAACAACCCCTTCTTGTAATACTCTTGCTTCTGTGCACACTGCAGCGTGCCCCCAAGGCCCCGTCGCCACCTACTACACTACTGACGTCATCTGTCTAGATATGGTCTGATACCTATCTCTTGCTATCGCCGCCATGTTATACATACGCATGCCGTCCGCCGACCGGAAAGGCGGCACTTACTCATACTTCTCTCTTCCATTGGCCGGCCCACCATGCAATGACACTCCAAGAAAAGCACACGCGGCGGGTGAGGCCGCAACAAGCGCTATGACGTAAACGAGATTATGGATGGGATAATGAATGCTTGTTGTATCTAACCGCAAATATGTAACACGCCCGGGCCGCGCGCGTTGACACCTTTATTTTTCGTCCTGGGCGGTGTCTGCGCTCAAGCGACCTCTCCCCCGCACCTCCGCCATGCATCTCATGTACACTTTGGATGATAATGGAAACAGGATTTACACGCTGAAGGTGTGCATGCTTCCACCGTTTACGCTCACTCGGGCCACTGAAGTATCTTGCAGAAAATCACAGACTCTGGAAAGATTACCAAGTCTGCCCACCCAGGTCTGCCTCTTCTCATCATGTCTATCGTCCGTCGCCTCACATTATACCAGCGCGGTTCTCTCCCGATGACAAGTTTTCACGCCATCGAGTGACAATCAAGAAGCGCTATGGCATCCTTCCGACGCAGCTCCCCAGCAAGCCTCTCTGAACGAGCAAACTGAACAGCGCCATCCGCACCCCGGCTTGCGCACTCGCAGCCATTGGAGTCACCGGCGACACGCTCCCGCCATGAGGGCTTGGTGGGAACGGAGATGGGAGCAACGATAGGCACCCGCACCCGTGTACGTCTTCCCCACAGCCGCTCGCCTGCCCATCACATTCTGTGTCTGTGCCCGATGTATGGGGGTGTGTATGAATGATGATGTATTTGGAACACGCATATGTGCTGGCACCTCGGCCGACGACGGAAATTTCCCAAGTCCGGCGGCCCGTGCTGACCGCAGAGGAAAGGGTTATTCTTGTCGTGCTTGGGCGCGGAGGCGGCCAGCAGCACGCCGGGACAGGTGGACTTCACATCTACGGAGATGAGATGCCTGTGAGCATTGCGAGCTCATGGAGTGCAGACATGTCCAGCTCGGACGATGGGAACCGGAGTTCGAAGGTAGCTAGATTATGGAGGCATTTCGGGTTGAATAAGGGGAGAAACAGTTATCGAACTGCTCCCACGGCTGGCGCGCTGGCTTGACGACGTCAAATCCGTTTCGCCTGCACGCCCTGTCGTGTGTGGGCTCCGGGCTAGTACGCGCCACTCTCTCCAGACCGCCACCGCTATGGATCACCGAGGGCAGCGACCCCCGCGCGCCGCGCGCCCGCCTGGGGGCCAGCCGGCGCAGCCTGCTCCGTCCCCTCCATCCTACCCCGCTTACCCAACGGCCTACCCCGATCAGCCAGCCACGACCTACCGCTCTGGCCACAGCCAGCCCCAATACCCCCAGTACCAACAGCACCAGCAGCAGCACCAGCAGCAGCAGCAGCAGTACTACTCCCAGCAACAATACCCTCAGCAGCCGGGGCGGGGTATCTCCTTCCAGAATATTGAGACCGGCGAAAGGCGGGAGCCGTTGGACCAGACTCGACATCGCCAGTACTCCGCCTACCAGAGCGCGACATCTCCGCCGCCGATGGACGTCGAGGGCGGCTTCTCCGACGGCCGTGTGGGCAGGAAGAAGAGCCTCGTTCGTCCCGACAGGGAGAAGGTCGACCCCAACCATCGCCAATGGCACTACCGTCAGCGGGCGGCCGAGATGGGCGACGCCCTCCCTTCCAGTGCGTTTTCTTCTCCCTCTACGCGTCGAATGTCCCACCGATGTCTCCTCTCGTCACATAGCGACGGGAAATGCGCCCACCCGGGGCCAGCTCCGACGAGGAAAGTCGCTCCTGGGTCGCGAGGAAGATGTGCATGAGTCGGGTCTTGCGCTCTTCAAGCGTGGGACGCTCCGCCGCAAACGTCGTCTGCCGCCGTTCCTCCCGAGGGACCCAAGTCTCGAGATGGCTGTTTGGGCAACATTGGGCCAGGGCCGAAGGATGCGTGGTACATCTATTGTTATATCGCGACGTGTTGGGTGCCGTCGTTCTTCCTCAGCGCATGTGGTGAGTGTCTCCGTGTGTCTCCGGGCGCTGCGCCCGCTCATTTCGGTGCTGCGCAGGCATCCGCACCCCCGAGCAGCAGCGGGCATGGCGCGAGAAGATCGGACTCCTCCTCATTATCATCAGTCTTATGGCCATCGTCGGCTTCATCACGTTCGGCTTCACCGAGGTCGTTTGCGGGACGCAGCCCAATCGCTTCCAGTCTGGCCAAATCGACACCGCCTCGGTCATCATCCACGGTTACGACTACGACTTTAGCAAATTCAACCACCCCG